CCCCAAAACCCCAAAACCCCAAAACCCCAAAACCCCTATAAGCAACCCTAGATTGGAACAACTAAAATCAAATAAATTATGGAAACTCAGGCCATTTTGTTCTTGCTCAAATTATTCTTGGGATTCTCGATGGTAATTGCTGCATTTATGATATCTGGTTATGGAATTCTGAAGGGTCTAATCGCAGTGCTAGTGCTATCAATAATCCTAGGCTTCTACGATATCGTCATGAAACCTACTCTGTTCAGAAGGAGATTCAGCAAATATCCGAATGTCTATGTGAGGCCTACTTTCACATTTCTTGTTGGAGATTTTGACAAAGCCATTGAAGACGAAACTTCAAATAGAATTTACTATCAGCATATCAAAGAAGAGGCAGCTCTCAGAAATAAGTATGACTTGAAAGTGGACATTGAAGGAAAAGTTCTGACTTTGAGCCTAATCTCCGATAGAGCAATGAGAGAATATGTGGCTCTTTCTCCAAATAAGATTGACAAATTCAGGTGGCTAAAGGGGCCAATGAAGATTGAGATTGGATCCATCTCTGTGGAGGGGACGAGTACTGAAATTCTTAATCGTAGGAAATATCTCTCAAGTCTATTGGGTTTAAATGCTGGGTCTAAATATATTCCTCAAATGCTCAGTTGTTGTGAAGAATATGTTCAGAAATTAAAAACAAAAGGGAAAGTACAATTTATGGATGAAATGCTAACATTTGCTTTCTATACTCTTGCTTGAATTTTGTTTGGAAGTGACATAAAATTACTAATGGGCAAGAAGCATTCATTTAAAAATGAAGATGGTACAATTGAAGAGTTGACACTTTTGGAATATTTCTGTAAAATTGAACAAGCCTTTATGAAGGAGTTTACAAATCCAATAACAGGGCTGTTACCCATTATCAGTGATCTTAACTTGATCGATCCATTCAAAACAAATCAAAGAAACTTTCAGATCTATAGGAAGGCTCTAAATGAGATGCTTGCTCAATCTAAAGACAACGAATCAATTTGGGCCCAACTTAAGAACAAGGACGATTATGATCAAGATAAGATTAGATGAGACCTCCAGATGTATGTATTTGCTGGAGCTGAGAGTATTTCTCATAACATTGTATCTGCTCTATACTTTTTGAAAAAGTTCCCAGATTCTTATGCAAAGCTTAAGAAAGAACTTAATGATCATGGGATCCACAAAGGTGCAGACTTCAACAAGGTCCTCACTATCGACAAACTCGATGAACTCGAGTACTTGAGCTGTGTGGTCAAAGAAGCTCTAAGGTTCGATCCTCCTTTTCCACAAGGCTACTTCTACACAGCCAAAGAAGACATCACTTTGTGCGACGTTCCAATTCCAAAAGGAACCATTATGAAGCACGACTACTTGTCAGGCAGCTTCAACGAGAAGAGTTACTTAAGACCAATGGAGTTCATCCCAGATAGGTTCAACCCGGAGTCTGAGTTCTACCAAGAATCAGTCAAGAGCGGAGTCTCTCCAGAACCTTACTCCAAGAGATTCTTTGGAATGGGTACGAGAAGATGTCCAGGGCAATCTTTTGGTGTACTACAATGCAAACTAATCATTGCTTACCTAGTATCCAGCATGGATTATGAGGTAGACTCAGATTTATTGTCTAATGATTATGCAGGCTTTGGGCTAGGAGGAAATTTCACCCCTTACTTTACAATTACATAAAGATTCGCACAATTAAGATCAATTTTCAATACTTTACTTTCACCCAGGGGTTTTGGGGTTTTGGGGTTTTGGGGTTTTGGGG